ATGTATATGGTCAGAATCCTTCATAAACTCTTTTTATTTTTGATTTGTGACCCTTACTCCTGTTCAAGCGGGAATGGGCGTAGGCATTCTCAAGTTCCCACCATTTTCATCCTATATGTAGAACTGATAGATGCTTTGTTGAATGCATATATGATATATTGCAGGACTCCTGTCCAGCCCTAACCGAAATGGAAAACGCCATGGTGAACTGGGTTGGAAGAGCATTAGGATTTCCAGAGGCTTTCCTTTTTCAGGTAATTTCCAAGACAACGGCCAACAGCACACATCATGCACTTGCCAGACAAATGCTGTCGGTTTTTTTAGTATGTAGGCTTAAGCAAGTGCAGTCAGTAACTGTATTTGGCTACAGTAGAATATGGTCGATACTTGTTTTCGCTATCATTGCCACTTCACTGGCTGACATTTGATATAACGCTCGTCCTTCACTTGAGGCCAGTGAAACTTCGCAGCATTCTTGTCACAGCAATTACTCTTCGAAAAAACCATACTAAGGATTTTCTGACTTGCTCGCTTTTCAATAATTTAGTCACTTTAAAGAAGCTTCTCGAAAGCAACAGAATGAAGGGGTGAACGAATTGGATGATGCTTTTGCTGATTGCTTTTCGTGAGGTGCCGTCACCCGGAGCAACTGACACATTTTACCTTTTTTCGGCTTCCACTGAATAGTGTTTCTTCTCATAGCCTTTCAAAGATGCAATTCGCGATTGAAGTGGCTTTGGATGCTGCTGATGCTTGTCGATGGGAATATATGCCTTCTTAGAAGGTCACACGGGGCAATGTGTGACGAAAAATAGCCTTTATAAGGCTCAATGGGCTTCAAATTCTGGCCAAAGTCGTACTACTCGCACCCGGCACGGGCTGAATGATTGAGTATACAGGTACATATTAAGTACAAACTGTCCGATCCCGAGGGAACAGGAGGTTCAAATGATTTGGATGAATGCCGATGTCGGTTCATGCTCGCGATAGTATGTTTCGTGACATTACGCCGTCTGTGCCCACCACCACCCACAGCTTCTCTGTTTAGCTGCCTTGTAGAGGCCCTTGTTATTTAAAATGGAACATTTTTGTTATTTGAAATGAAAATGCCGTCAGTTATTACACGCTAATAGCTAGCAGATGTTGCTCTGCAGCAACTGCAATCTCGTCCAAACACCTCTCCCTTCCGACCTTCGTCGTCATACCCTTATCCGACTGTTCAACATATTAGCTCAAAAAGGACAAATATTCCGAACTACATGCGTACCTTCCTTTTTTCGATACGGGGTGTCATTCTGGCACGACACTTTTAATCCGTACCCGGGTAAGGGTATATGAAATCATCGCTAGCTTTGCTTTCGAGTGGCGTGACTGGATCTTCATTCGCTCCTTGCCCGCATTTTACTGTACACCGATTGCGTTTTAGCAATTCTATAAACACTGTATGACAATGTAAGAATGAGGTGTAATGACGACTATGGGTTGTTTCTTATACCGCTTTCATCAAAGTTATCGCTAGTTCACAGTCGAGAAGCTTCCGGCTCATCATACATACTTGATCCTTGTGACGTTGTAAACTACGAAACGAGCCGCTCGAGAGCACTTATTTGAAAGGACTGAATGGCGTATGAGACAGGGCTAACTCCCATACTATTTTATTTTGACCATTTCATAGGCTTCATCCCGGTTAAGGTTAAACACTATCATTATGAGGAGGGAAGGGATTTCTCATACGTCGTCTGATCAAACTACCATATTTTTTTTTTGGAACAGCGTGCCTCATCTACAACAAGCTGTGAGAAGTGCACAGTCCTTCACCATTAGCTATTATTAATCATTAGTTCGAAAACGAGAGCGCAAAGGTAACCAATAAGTAGAACAATTTTTTGGTGTATTATCTTGGTGTCGGTAGAATTAAAGTCGACAGTCTAAAAGTAGTAAAGGCAGCACTTTCAATAAATCAAGCAATCTTTCTTATTTTATTCATTGGCGGTTTTATGTCGACGCATTCTTTTTCTACATAGGTTCATTATGTACGAGTGTAAGTTTCATTGGAAGTTCCTGAGTAGATCCTGATAGCGCATCTTCAGGATTCTCCACCTGCCAGCCAAGGAGGAGGTACTGTCACAGAGTCTGGGTCAGACGCGATTCTATGTGCAGTTCTAGCAGCGAGACAATGGAAAATCAACCAGGTGTTGAAGTTTTGAATTCATGCTACTGGTTCTGAAAGCTCCTGCTCCCTAGCCAGTAATATCTCAAGCTTCTCTACACCGATTAGTTCGTGTCGCAATTGATCAATCCCTCTAATAATATGAAAAGATATGAAAAGGATAATGAAAAAGCAAGGCAATCAAGGAAGCAATATTAAAAGTCAGACTAGAAAACCTAATGAAAAAACAAGCTGGTGCATACAACATATTCAGTTTATGAAATTCCTAACAATGACACTTGGTAGTGGGCACTGGACTGACACTGGTATAGTGTATTTATTGACGATACTTACATAATTTGCTGCATTAGTATACACTGCATTGGACCAATTGTAAGTACGTTAGGTCCTCATCGCTTCCAATCAATGTTGAGTAACAGACTGACTACCCCACTGAATGATGTTGCCTGAAGGGACAAAATTTAAGTGAATTCAAAAAATGTTTTTGTTTGGAAAATCCTGGTTCTCTGTTTGACTTGGACTTTTATACTTTCACAAGGTCTCAGTCGGTTACCAGCCAGGAGTATTTCTACGGTTTTTCAATATGTGATTATGCTTTCGTATATGATTATGCAAATCTTAGTCTCAGAACTCAATCTATTGCTCTTGATCTCAACACTAATCATCTATGCAGGAACTCATTTCCCCCTCATTAGATCTACTGGAACTTTTTGGAACTGGTCTACCGACCATGCCGCTACCAACACTTGTTCAATAGAACGGTATGCGGTGGATATATCCGGCGCAGAACGTAGCTCCGTCTTGACTTTCATTCAGCTCCAAGCGGATAGAATATAAGACCAGCCCATAGCTCCGTTCTCAGGGGATCCAGCCATTCTACAAGTTTTCTATTTTCTACCAAACTTCTTTGACTTTCAACGTTTTTACCTCAAAAATTGAGATTTGAGGTACTTGGTGCAGTTTATTCTGCAGGTTACACCTCAAGTTCAGGTACCTGACATAACTGCATTGTGAACCCACCACTTTAATTGGAAGCTTTATTCAAACAATCAGAGTACATGCATGGCAATCTATTTTATGAGGCATTAACATCGTGATTGGTTTGAATAAGTTTTCTAACAGCATTTCAACAATCTGTGGGAGTGTAGAAAGTTGAAGGTACAGTTCACGATAATTTTGAGGAACCCCTTTTCAGTCGAAAAGCGGAAGTATAGGTTGGGAAGAGCACGTCGGTAGTGAGAAAACATGCAAATTCGTCGATCCCGAGAAAAAGAAGGCTCCCAAAAAAGGTGAAAATAGAGCTGGGATGAGACTACCGTGACGGGAATAACATGGAAGAGGTATTCGGGCGAGGTTTCAGCTGTTGTAATTGCGTGAAGAGTGGCCCTCATCAAGCCAGAACTGTACACACGACCTTCCAGTGTCGCGATGGGTCATGACAAGCTGTTTGAACTTCCTACATGTGTTACCTCGTGATCGGTGCAGCCTCTACAAGGTTAGTTAATTCGTCCGAGAATACACACGCTGCAATCTTTAAGCCTTTATAACGCCCTATTTAGGCCGTTTTCCGGCCTGACAGCGCCACGTATGATATACGAGAGCGCCATTATCCTAAAGAGATATTATAAGCCAATTTAATCGTGATCTGTGCCTTTGAATTTGCTTCTACTTTGCAGAGGTATATTTCAGGAAGCAGAGTAGTTTGACATTCATTTAGCCGTTCAAATCATTGTAAGCGGAGACCACATGAAAAGCTAAATCTCGGATAGGTGGTCAGAACGTTTCTTGTTTTGGATTTCCTGTATCTTCCAATCTAAACACGGTTAACCATTGTTCCCAGTAATTGTTAGGGCTTTAAGAGGGACGTGCACTACGTGCGTCCGAGGGCGCGCGCGGCAAATTGCGCGGCGAGTTCGTGACGATTTGTACGACTCTGACGCCAATATTCGCGGGCACGAACTCGAAGTAGTTTAGTTTAGTAGAATCGGATGACCCTTCTAATCAACTCCGAATTTTGGCCCCAATGGTAGGCGCTAAAGTCGTTCAAATCGTTACGAACTTCACAAATTGCCCCGCGCATCCTCGGACGCACGTTCGTCCACATAGCCGGCTTTAATCATAATGTAGCCTGAAAAGGGACACGGTTGATAAGTCTTTGTAATTGTCAAGATCAAACCAGACTAATTGTTTAAGTGTTGTTGGTATTGTAAGTAGAGTGGATTTTTTTGAAACCAGTAGGGTTACGCACGCTAATGCGCGCACCACATGCCCACCTTTCCTACGACCTGTTAGAGGACCAATATAAAAGTATCGGTTTACTTCCCATTTCCTAACTGTTTCCTCACCGCGCTCACGTGACATCCACGCTCTTCGTCGTACCC